CTGTTGCCCAGGCTAGAGCACAGTGGTGTCATCACAGATTACCGCAACCTCACACTCCTGGGCCCAAGAAATCCTCTTGCCTCAGTCTCCTAAGTAGCTGGGCCTAGAGGCACGTACCACCACACCCGGCTAATTTTTATATTTTTTTGTAGAGACAGGGTCTTGCTCTTGCCCAGGCTGGTCTTGAACTCCTGACCTTAAGCGATCCTCCACCTCAGCCTCCCAAAGTACTAGGATTATAGGTGTGAGCCACTGCGCCCATCCTAAACACAGTCTCTTTTGAGGGCAAATGCTATTTGCCCTAAGGAAATTACAGCCCCACCTGATCCTGCCCTTATACTGATGGAATAAAGCAAAACAGAAGCAGAGAGAAGCAACTATTACTCTTCTTTCCCCTGAGACAGCTTGTAGGTAGAATACCACTTCTACTGGGAAGGCTCATAATAAAAAGAAAGCAATTTTGTAAGGTCATCCCAGTCACATATGCCGACCCAGTGGAGGGGAAATCCCCATATCTGGCAAAATGTGTCACAAAGGTGGTCACATGCTATTTTTCGGTCATGCATGTCACTTGATCTATGGCTAAAAGTAAGTGACTTCTGGGGCATGAAGCTGAGCCACTTAGTAAGCTACAAAATGATAGTACTCCATGGTTTGGGATTTTAACATTAATAAAATTGCAGGAGATATTCCAGGAGGCAAGAAAGTAAACCACTTTGGAAAGTGATGTTAAATCAATCCTGAGAAAAGACAATTAGCTCCTGCACCATTGCCCAGAATTTATTTTCTCTCCCTTCTCAAAACTAGGTCTGATTTTACTTGTAAAAATATAACATATGCTCATGAAGTAAATGCAAATGGTAAAGAAAGTTAGGAAATGAAAGTAAAAGTGTCCCTTCTCTCCTGGTCCAACTTATATTCCTTTCCAGAAATTTACTATGCATAAAGTAGCTTACATATATATAAAATGTATAATAAAATAGCTTTTAAAAGTACCAGTTGTTTTATATACAAAAGCATTAAAAAATAAGAAAAAATTTAACTACAAAACGTTACTAAAAGAAATTAAAGACACCAATAAATGGTAAGATATTCTATGTTCATGGATTGGAAGACTTAATACTGTTAAGATTTCAATACTACCCAAAGCAATCTACAGATTCAATATGATTCCTACCAAAATCCTAGCGACCTTTCTTGAAGAAACAGAAAAATCTATCCTAAAATTCATATGGAATCTCTCTCTCTTTTTTTTTTTTTGACAGAGTCTTGCTCTGTCGCCCGGGCTAGAGTGCTGCGGCATCAGCCT